GGTGCGTTGCGCTTGCGCTTGCGGTCGGCTGTTTCGTCGCGCTGGTGGCGTCGTTGCACGCGCGCTGCTCCGATCGGCGTGAGATGAAAGCCGAGCGTTGTTGCAAAGTACTCGATCACATCAAATTGGAGGTCGGCGACAGCGACGTCGAGCGCGATGCGCCAGTACACTGGTTCGCTGTACGCAGTGCAGAGCCATTGAAGTAGCGCAAACTGGTTCTGGGTTGCAGCTTCTTGGAAAGCCTCTGCGATCATGCTGCCAGAGCTGTTGGCCAAGAGAAAAGCCACGAGGTCCGGGCTGCCGCTGGCTACAGCACGCCGCATGTGGTGGGCCTTGAAGGTGGCGATGTCGCCTTGCTCAAAGAGGTGCTGCACGATGCAGAGCCGACCGCCACGCAGCGCAATCGCTACCAATGTCTTTGGAGACATGTGGGCTTCGTTTTCGAGGGCAAAGCGAAGCAAGTCGACATGGTCGCCGAGACAGGCCGCGACTGCAAAATGGCGCACAGAGCCGGAAATGGTATCGCGGCCGTACTTGCTGTAGAAACAGGAGCCGCCGAAGTCGCGGACATTCCCGTTGCGGTCACTGGTGTAGTGTCGTTTCACATGACGGTGCTGGGAGGCGCAGCGGTGCCACGCCCCGTAGCGGAGCGTCCAGTGCCCACGGGCGAAGCACAGTGTCTTTATCGCCACGAGCTCGCACAAGAGATCGACGCGGCCATACTCGAGCGCATAGCTAAGCAGCAACGTCGGGCATAACTGGCGCACGAAGCGGAAGCCGACGCGATCGAGCCACGGTGCGATGAGCGCGTGCACGGGCCCGAGGTCGCCGCCTGGAGAGGTGTGGCCGAGGCGCTTGAGGATAAGCACGTCTTGGTTGACGCCGACTTGGTAGGCGGCGACGAGCGGGAGGAGCTGCGCGCTCATGAGGACGCCGAGGCAGGCCATGGTCTCGGGCTTGTGTCCTGCGCCCCTGGATCGGATTTGAAATTTCAAACACGTGGTGTGTTTCAAACGTGTTTAAAACACATCGTAGCCGAAAGAATGACGTGGCAGCAGGAGGTGGCGCGATTCGCAGGATGGCGTGATCCCATTGGTTCAAATGCAACGAATGACATGCCTTTGAGTGTAAAATCGGCTTTTGATTGGCTTATAATCGTGTCGCAGCAAATCCCACGAGGCACTTCGTCGCGCCGACTGACGACGCCGAATGCACCCTCGTCGACGCAGATAGGCGTTTGCAGGTTGTCG